GGGGACGCACGCACAATGCGCCGCCGCCCCCGCCCCTCGCACCCCGCCCCGCGCCCTGCGCGCGACAACACGCTGTCAATTACGGGCCTCTTCCACGCGCGGGGGATCGCGGTTGCCGCTGCGTGGCCGCGACACGCGCTGACGCTTCGGGGCGTGCGAATGCTGATTTAATCTACAGTTGTCACGGACGATTAAGTTTATGTTATTTAGTTAATAATTTTTCTTTTGAAGTCAATTATACTACTTAAAACAATTACATTAATTGTCTATTTTTTATCAGACAATTATCATCCTTTTACGTTGCAAAATACTCTACATTAATGTTTTACAACGTTTCGGTCACAATTTTCCAGTCTTGCGTTATGATCAACACATCGTAACTTCATTTGAAAAGTAACTTCCTTATTTGACTGCATTGTTGCAAAATGTTCGTGGAAAGTGTTTTATAATGTAATATAATGTAATGATGTTTGTGTGTTAATTAACCTGACCATTGTTAAAGTAATTGTTTTAAATTTATTGTTGAATGCTTATTCTTTAAATATAATTGTTTTAAACTAAGTTGGATTGTGTATACATCTTTTTAAGTCTCTTATTAAGTTATTTTACGAATTCTTTTCAATATAAATTTTTAATATGTGAATATAGAATAATTTTTGTTAAATTCTGAACGAATTATCGTTCCACGACGTAATGAATCGTTTGCCCTATTGAAAAGTTGGTATACCGAAACGTACTCTAGTTGTACGGGTGGCTACTATTTCAGTTTGAGAGGAGTAGACAGAGCTTAAGATAATAATAAAACTAGTAGAAGTACCAAAATAGCATTATATTTTACGAGAAAAGGGCACACAGAATGTTTGTTATTTGACACAACAGCTCTATGCGACCTAAAGCGTACCTAAAGCGTACCGTGCGTCCATCGCGTACATGGAACATAGGAATTGGTTAATGAATTATACTTTCAGTATAACAGTTAAATAATATTAAAACATTAAAACAAATCCATTAAAATAATTAATAAAACTAATATTTAAATTGTTTGAATAACATATTCTCTGAAATAGCTTAGCGTGGCACCCCTGACGGGTATTTTTATTTTTAAAATATTAGTTTTATGAAAGAAAAATGAAAGTAAATTTTTAACATATTCATTTGTCTGGCTTCTGCAATATCGGAAATAAAAATTTGAATGAAAAAATGTTAATAAAATTACTTAAATTGATTCATATCTTCATTACAAAATTTTACCCAATTTTATAATGAAAGTAATTAAGCCAGAAACACGGACACATGCAGGTTACCTAATTGCAATTAAGATGTTTGCACGGGTCCAAGTAGCCAGTATTTAAACGTCTCTAAATACTTGACAACAAGTAAATATTACATTTTCCTTACTTACATTCCCTGATTGTTATGTCAATTTAGTTATAAAATAATTGATATTTCTTTCAATTTTTACGATATTCATAATGATTGTTTATTGCACCTTGTTTTCTCTTATCCAAAACTTTACAAAATATTATTGCTATATTTTGCTTCATTTTATTTCGTAGACGTACTCTTCTTGATTGTTTATACTTCTACACAATAAATAGTGAAATAAAACAGTCTTTCAAAACGTTATGTTTAGACAATATTGTAAATGGAAGAATTCTTTTTCACATTTTTAATGTGAAATCCCAAATTCAACCAACTAAAACACTAATGGCTTTTCTATATTTTCTCTATTATCTGTTCTATTAATTTTAAAAAGAAGAACCGGTATAAGTTTAAGCTGTATTCGACAAAAATGAACTTCTTTAAACAAAGTAATAAATAATTTTCACATAATTCTTCTACCATTATTTTACCATTTTGTCTTAGTATTTCTTACGAACCACTTACTTGGATCTATAATCTTGAAAGATTTTTAGTGGAGAGTGCGTAGTAATGTATTAATTTCAAATATACAAAAAAGTTTTAGCAACCTGTAATTCAGGGTCGCTTTTCGAAGGAATGCTATTGTATAATATTGTATAGTATTTATTTCTGTCAAACAACAAGACGTGAGCGTTCTGAAGACCTATACTTAAAGTATTCTTCTTCTGTTCACAAAATGTGCTCTCTTCGTATCTTCGGATATCATACGTAAGAAATTGTCCGTCGGATTCTATGTGATTTGAATGATGCTTATTTCTGTAAACAGATGATTGGGATACATACACAAATAATTCACGCAATGTGGACACCAAAGAAAGAGAATTAATAATTGCAACTAGTTCTGTAATTGGTTATTAATTTATTATATGATAGTAAGTCAATAAGTATCTGCACTTTCGTTCTAATCGTTGCCTGTAGAACTTTGTGAACTTACCATCCTAAAGATGACGTTATTCACATTTCTTGTGGTAAGATTCAGCATTATCAACTCATGTTCCGACGTAAACATGGCTGCTTCATCGTTTGAACAAAAAAAGTACAGGCATTCGTAATATTTTCGTACAGGCATTCGTATGTGTATAAAATACGGCATACGTAGAAGACGTTCGGCACAATGTGGGCACAATACGAAGAGTTAGCCAGAGTCCTGAAGAAGAGTTTACCAGTGGATTGAACCACTCAAAAGCGGTCAAACAATCATTCGTGATGAAAAAACAGCAGGGGCGATGTTTAACCTCGTCTACAACTCATTACAATATTGAGCAAGTCCGTGCTATGATTATGATTAACCGATTAGTGGCTATTGATGAAGTTACAAACCATATGCACGTTAGTCACGTTCTTCATATGAGAACGCCAAGATGGATTGTCAAAGGACTGTGTTTTATTGAAGCCAATCCACCTACCGCTGCCCTAACTCTTCAAAATCTGTACCATTTCGCGGTGTCAGAGCACCCCGCTTACAGTTTGTTCGTGACACGTCTAATTACCATCTGTTTGGTCTACTTGATCGGATGCTTTAAGAGACCTAAGATTTTCTTCGCACTTACACAAGAGAAAGTACTGCGTACATGGTTTGCTGCTCAATCGAAAATTGTGTTTGTAGCGTATTGGAACGATGATGCTACGATGCAGCAAGTGAATTGAACCATTGAAAACCACAGTGCACACCAAATGGTCTCATTGTACATTTTTGTAGTTGCCATAATCAATTGTAAATATTGAGTGCAAATACTTATGCCGTGAACTCTTATTAATTACTTTACAATAATTTTAATTTTTATTTAATTAAACTCCTTCCAGAACATTACGTTAATTGATGGGAAAAAGTTATGTTTAGTGATAAGTTATCATTAGAAAGGAAAAAGAAAAAACTCTTGTGAAAATTATGTCTGTAAAGGAAACGTCGCTGTGACTCCCTTTGCACCCTTCCTCATCAAACCAATTTCTGTCTGCCCTTTGTAACTGAAACCTAATCTATAATACCAATTTCAAATACGCGTATAAACTGACGGAAAACCAAGCAGCATCGGACGCCTTGATAAGTGACTATGGTTTTGTTAGATACCAGAAACATGGGAAAAATCCAAAATCAGTGAGATTCCATTTTGACTAAGAATGCAAATATTTAATTGTTATTCTGCCTGTTCTCACACTGCACTTATCGACTAATTTTCATAATTCTTGTGTCACTGCTTACTACAGAGCTAACGTTATGTCGTTAACTAGGGAAATAAAGGTCTGTCCACCATTACATATTTCCTAGTAATCTTTTGGGTTGAAATGGGAAAGAGTTCCAACAATGAATGATATTGGTAAATATCCCTTATATTTTTCATAAATGTTTAGGTGTATGTTCATAATTGATTATTATTGTAATTCTAGTTTTTTCTGAAGAGATGCTATAATACACTTTTTAAGACATTTATACCTGAATAAAAATAAGGGTTTTAAACTTTCGTTCATTCATTTCTTCCAAGTTTCCTATTGATCTATATTGACAAAACGTG